TTGGAGGGGGTACTCCGACAGGCTTTAAATAATGGCTCTTTTTTGTGGGTCACATTTTTAATTTTTTAACCTATTAGATATGCAACCTTTTTAAATCTTTCTATTGTGTTACATAGCCTCAGTATTAGGCCTTTGATGGCCATTGACAAAATTTTTCTATGTCAAATAATTTTTGAGTTTTGGAGGTTTTTGTTAAAAAAACGAAAAGTGGTCAAAGTTACCCCGCCGGTCAAAGTAACCCCATTTTACGGTAGCAAGAAATGAATGGCTATGAAAAGATCACCGTATGCACAACTCGAGTTCTGATTGCTTTACGTCACTCTCGAAACACCACACTACGCGCTGTGCCAGCCATGATGAAACGTCACAAACTGTTGCCATATTTATTTAAAAGCCTGTAGAATTCAAATCTACAAAATCACTGAATCCCAATTCTGTGTGTGACTAAAGTAAATTGGGCATATTGTGAGACTAATTCCAACAATGCTTAAAAACCGTAATTTGTAATTCCAACGCCCTGTGTGAGCTGTATTTGATAATCGGAATATGACACAGCTTGGAACAAGCTGTGTGTGTCTAATTCCGAGCTGTATCGGAATTAGTTTTTATATGTATTAAACCGTCTCTCAACTTAATCATCTATTAATTTATTTCCCACTTGGAATCTGCAAATACAAGTATACTTGAAGGATTTCTAATATATTCACAGACTTATTTAAAAGTCTCAAACCATGATATTCTTTCTACACAAACAGTTTATCACTATTTGGTAGAGCAAGGTCAACTATCAACTTTGACACATTTTTTGCTGTTCTCACTGGGTGACGTGGACTTTCGCTCTGAGGATCTTAACATTTTCCTGCCAGACCTAGTGTTTTGCGGAAATCTGGCGCGCAGTAGTATGACGTCACTATTTCAACCATCTATGCATGCGTGGAACTAAGACAAAGCTTAATATAAAGGAAAAAGTTGAGAATTATCAGAATTACCCACGATGTTGGAATATGGTGCGTTTACCCTACATGACACATCCAATCATTCCAATGCCAATCCCTTTGGATCTGGTGGCTCTGGAGTGAAATGCCAATCTATTATCTGTAGAGTAGACAGTAGTCAGTAGATGACATCACAATCCCACCAACACCAATCATAGCCTGGACTCTGGAGAGTGGAGTGGAACAGTGGATGACATCACAATCAAATATCATTATATCAATCACATCCTGGAGTGGAGTTGATGACATTGCAATCATTATCAATCACAGTTTGGAGATGGACATACACTCAAAAATGAAATAATCTTGAATGACAGCTGTTTCTTGTTGAAACAAACACAATTATTGACAGAGAATGCATTATATTCCAATTTTTAGGGCCTAGAAATTAGAATATAATGCAATAAATGCATTCTCTGGTATATATAATAATAATGCATTCACTCCCTAAAATTCAGAGTCAAAAAATTTGTCAGATGACATTAATGGATCAAAAGGCAGGTCTGAGACACATTGACATATTGTTTGCATTGCAAGTTACAACTTAACAAGAAACATCAAACAATGAAATTTTGGTGGATATAAGTATATAATACATTTAAATAATATAAATTTAAAAAATTTTGAAACACATAGGGATTTTAATAATTATATCAAGGTTCAGACTTCAGATAATTCTGATAGTTTGCAAACATACAAAAATTCCATATTGATCAATGCCGGTGGTGGTTGTCTGGAGAAGAGTGATCTCTTCTGTAAAGTAGAAACCTTGAATTGTACTGGTCTGGTTGGTGTCAGGCATAGAATATATTTACTTGGTGAGCCGCAACTGGATTTCTCAAGCCATGGTTTTATGGATTTGCCAGCCATGATTCCATTTATTTGACCTGTGAATTCCATATCTTGGCCATCATTGGCCATGAAGAGCCATTTACAACCTGCAAACTTATTTTTAATGTCCTGTGCATATGTTACCCCAAACCTCTAATATTGTCCTAAAAACAGTCAAACAGCAACAATAACATTTGTCTTTACTTTAGTGTTAACTGAACGCGTGATAATGTAGTCTGACCACTCTGATGTGACCACAAGTAGGCAATCTTCAACAAAATGTTTTGGATTGACTCGTTATTACATTCTGCAGGATATTGTGGCAGGAGCATTGAAGTACTGTGGATTGCAAAGTTGAAAATTTCACAAAATGATATAGGTATATCATGATTTTTGTGACATGCAAAGCGCGATTTTTTCAATCAAACAAATATACATGACATTAGAGCTGTGAGATTTCATACCTACGGTACTGAAATTATATATTAGAGTTGCAATATTTCAGAAAAAATTAGGACTTTTCTTGACCTGGTCTGCGGTAATTGGCTCCAAAGTCCAAAATCAAAGCACTAAAACTATAGCAAAACAATTTTTGCGGTATTCAGTCTCAGCAAGACTTGCAATAAGAGTTTGTGGGAGGAGTTAAAGCCACACAAATTGAAAGACATATGGTATAAAAATAGTAATATAGCTACTTGGCAAATTTTGTGCCTCTATTATATTACTGTCAAACAGGGTAAAAAGGGACGGTTTTGAGCGTTTTTTGTTAATAACTTCTTACCATGAAACATTTCAGAAACAAGTTTAGGCTCATTTTATAGCTCTTTGCAAGGACTATCCAATGGCATCTTCGAAAAAATTCCATATGCTATTCGTAAGGTGCCAGACGCAAAATAAAACCGTACCGATTTACCCCTGGGAACGGGGTAATCCGGGACACTTGCAATAAAAGTTAATTTTGAAATGTTTGAAGCATGCAGAGTGTACTCGGCCATTACCAACAGTACTTTGAAGTCCTCCTCTTTCATTGTAGATGATGTAGATGTAAAATAAATAACATTTTCTGTGATTTTTAATTGTTTTTCCTTTATGGATATTATATTACTATATTCATTAATTACCATATTATTAATATGATATTACGGTATCCATGGACATGCCATTGAGCATTGACAATGACCTTGTCCACTGCAAGCTTCATATCAGCAGCCATGTAGCATTTCTTCTGTATCTGTAAGCTTACAGGATGGTTTGTAATTTCGCACAATTTTAATTGAGTCAAGTAGTCAAGTGATTTAACTATAACAAAAAAGATCGTAAAAAACATACCTGAAACAGAAAATAATGTTTTAGTGACAATGTTAGGCTTGATACAAAAAACAGTAAACAAAATGAAACTTTTATTTCAGAGATGACTGGTCCAAATCTTGAGAAAGCAGACGCATTCACAAAAATCTAGGATTGAACCAAGTCCTGAAAAATGACGCTTGGCAGCAGTTCCAATACAGTTTATTGCCGTTATGCCGACAAATAAACCCGGCCCAACATAACTGTAGAAGCAAGAAATATTTCATAAATTTTACTATTCTGCTTTCCAGTAGTAGTATTCCAGTGTCGCAATAAGTTTCAATCTAATACATTCATGTAAGCAAAGCATTACACCTTTTACACACCATGATAAACGGAAGGCTCTTTCTATCGCAAACAGTGTCGCTGAAAGTCCTCATAAAAAAGATCGAAGGTTGGTTCTCACCGGATATGCAGTTATTCTATCGAATAGAAGGAATAAATAGCCGTTAGAAAGTTGGTAATTAAATCATAAGTTCTATGAACATAAATGTGAGATGCAATATGTCACTATAACAGCCTCGGACCCACCTTAAAATCTTTAGCCACCAAGCGGTTAAACTGTAACTTTGAGAGGCTTGTGAGGCCATGTAAAGGGAAATAATGAAAGTAGAAGAAAGAGAGGGCAGACTCCAAAATGAACAAGTAATTTAAGCTTAGGAAAGCACCAAGCTTCCCTAATAGGTTAGGAACAAATATCAAAGTTATTACAGTAAAAAGCCGAAGCTCAAAGTTAAGGTGGTCGAGCCACATAAATAGGCCAAGCCCAAAGTTAGCACTGGAGTCCGCCCTTTCCTAATCACAGAAAGCGCGAACATGCATTATCAACGTAAATAAACAAAACGAAAAACTAAGAGTGATCACTCAAACTTAAATACAGAAATTAGGAAGGAATGCCTTAATACACTCCTACGGAGCAAAATTAAACGGATGTTTCCATCAACAAGTCTTTCAGCCAACTCTTACTATTTACAAATTCATACCCAACAAAAGGTATGAAGAAAAAGAACAAATTTATATCCTAAGGAATGTGGAAATTTCCAACAACAACCATCATATGTTTTAGAGAAATAAATCATAGTTTAGGTCAATTACTTTTCATTCTGTGATGACCGATGATGCACTAATTTTTTGATAAGTGAATTTTTTTTCGCTGAGCAAGGTAAATGTAATCAAAATTCTTTGTTAATCAATTTTGTTGTTAACTGGAACCTTTGCTAACTGAGGTTCTACTGTAAATGCATTTTTAAGGGTATCCCTAATTACCCCGAGGGGATGTCCCGAGTAGCCCCGCCGTGCGGAAATGGCTGCCATTTTTTTTTTTTGAGTGAGATAGGCAAAAACGATCAATTACGTTTTCAAGCCAACACCTGGGTGCAATTTTTATGCAAGTAAAATGTTTTAATGTGGCAAATATTATTTTTGCTCAAGACCTTAGCAGAGGTACTTTTCAAAATTGCACTTTTCACACTTTTTTTCAGTGATTTTTTAGAGATAGTAAATGTTTGATTTCTTGACTAGCTTTATACACAATGGATAGTAAAAATGTTGAAGTTTACGCCACTATTTTTAGTTTTGCAATATTTTGATTAGTTTAGCTGCTACAACATTTCTATGAAATGTGGGACGCGCATCCCGAATTACCCCGCCCATCCTTTTTTATCCCGTTTGACGGTATCAAACAAAGTAATTAATGATAGATAAATTTAAGAAAATTGTAGAAGTGTTATTGCAAGTTTCAATTATTCCTAAATTTGGCCTTGAATCTTTGCAAGAAATTTTCATGTACAGAGCATTTATCTATGTATATTTGGTTTCTTATTTTCCAGATTAGCCTTTTCTTGGACAAAGAAGGGTTTATTGATTGTAATGTTGAAGTTAATCAAGATAAGCAATACATTGACAAAGCCATCACATGGGGTTTTATTCTTTTCAAAATGCAGTAAGAATCCTGACACCTCTGTAATTTCATGCAGTACATCTCCTGATGAGCTTAGGTAAGTTGAATGTGGGATTTTCACACAATTGTTGTAAATTATAAGATTCTATTCATGAAATTTAGCTTCTAAAAAAAGATTTGTGAATATAAAATAGGTATATACCGGTAGTAAAATATTATATACAATATATACTATTTTATTCATTACCATTTTCTCATCAGAGGCTAATTTTTTAACTGTCAAAGTTCAGGCCATATGAGTAAGATGGCATGAGCAAGATGAAGAGGATTCTGAGGAAGGAATCCTCTTAAAAAAAATTAGAGTATGGATAAAAAAAGTACTCTGTTTTCTAATTTATATTATCTGAAGTTGAGAAGTTATTGTTATTTAAAATGAAAGTCATTATTTTACGCATTTATAACTTTACCTATATAAACCTTGTGCAGTTTGGCCCTGAAAGGCAAGAGTCTGAGAGGCCCGGCAGTTGTGCTGCGTGACACTCACAGGAAACTCAAGATGGAATGGCTGCAAGGTAACTTAGGATGAAATAAATTGAAGACCATGGTTGTTTGATATCCATTTCAGCAATTCTATAAACTTAGATAACAAATTAATATTAATGGACACAATCTGTGTTTGGCTTCGTATACCGTCAACCGGGGCAACTCGGGACTGGCGGGGCAACTCGGGACGCACCTCTGACACGTCGTAAAACAGTCATAGTAGCGAAACTAATTGGAATATTGCTAAACTAAATATAGTGGCCTAAACAACAACATTTTTCCTATCTATGTAGTATAAAGGAAGTCGAAAAATACGACATTTATGTCCTGTAAGCTTACAGATACAGAAAAAATGCTATGATGCTGCTGATATGAAGCTTACAGTGGATAAGGTTGTTGTAAATGCTCAATGGCATGTTCATGGATACTGTAATATCACATCAATAATACAGTTATCCCATCAATAATACAGTACCGTCAACTGGGTGATTCCGCCATGTTCATAATGATGGCCAAAGTGGGGTAATAAACGGTCATAAACAGTGGCCAAAGTCACTCAGGCGTTTATGACCTGGTTTACAACCCTGGCGTTTATGACCCCGGCGTTTACAACCCCGCGTTTACGACCCCAGCATGAATCAAAAACACAGCCAAAGTCACCCCAGTTGATGGTAATTAATGTTTGTGGTAATATCATATCAATGAAGGAAAAACTAGTAAAAGTCACAGAAAATGTCATTTATTCTACCTCTACATTGTCTACAATGAAAGAGGAGGACTTCAGAGTACTGTTAGTAATGGATGAGTATGCTCTGCATGCTTCAAATGTTTTAAAATAAAGTGTTATTCCCAGTGTCCCAAGTAGCCCCGTTCGACGGGGCTACTCGGGACACTTTTTTTTGCTTCTGGCACCTTACCAATAGCATATGGAATTTTTTTGAAGATGCCATTCGATAGCCCTCGCAAAGAGCTATAAAATGAGCCTAAACTTGTTTATGAAATGTTTCATCATAAGAAGTTATTAACAAAAAACGCTCAAAACCGTCCCGAGTAGCCCCGGTTGACGGTACATTGATGTATACTTGCTCTGGCACAATCATTGTTATTTCAATGCAAATTTTTGAAAATTTTATAGATTATTAAAGCTAATGATGAGTTTTATAGCGTCAACAGTAAGTATGTTTGTGGTTGTTCTTAAAATAATAGCATGTTGAATCGTATTTATTATAATGAAATATTATTTGCATATATTTGGATCTTGCTTCATCATATACCTACAACCCATTTTTCTCAGACAACCAGTATTTATGCTTGTTATGCATCTAACTAAAATTGACATGGGCAAACATTGCAGCCTTGGGTGTAGGTGACATTTTGTTGCTTCCACAACTAAGGAATATATCTATCTTCATTACTCTTTGATCCTGAGCATCTTAATAGGTACTGATAAAATTTTTCCTGCCCATTACAATGTTGGAAAAATTACTAGCTTAAAAATATTTGAAAGATATAGAAAGGGGAAATGTTGGGTTTCAGTTTCAATATTTATGGTATCACTATTGCAACCCCCTGTCCCTTGTAATGAAGTGTAAATTTTTGTTTTATGAGAAATATGGGTGAGGAGAGAATAAAGTTGCTAGACAGAAAGAGTTTTCATGGTAAAGACCTTACATCTGTAAGGACCTTACATCATCTGTTACAACTGAATACTAATGACAAACAGACTATATCAATATATATGTCCAACTTCAATTACTATTAAACCTAATCAAACCTAATATGTGTCATTCATCACAGCTTGAATATCATATAGTGCAGTGGTTCCCAAAGTGGGTGATATTGCCCCCCTAGAGGCAGTGGAAAGATTTTGGGGGTGGAAAGGAAGAAGAGGGCAGTAGGGGGGCAATCGGGGGGCGGTAGTCTGGAGTCAATGTCAGAAGTTTGAATGTTTGTTTGACTGTTTGTACACAGCACATGCAGCACATGACTCCCAGTGATGTTTTTGTCACCCAGATCTGTTTTTTTAACCTCTCCTGGGTGTACGTCTCAGACACATTAACAGCCGGTCTCACAGCCAATTTCCAAATTCAACGATCAAAGAATGTCTCACAAACTTATAAACTTAACTCAATGAAACTTGGTACACGTATTCATTAGGACCTAACAATAATGGTTTGCTCATTAAAATTGTTTGAATTTTGCCATCATTTGTTTTTGCCATAGTTTTATGGCAATATGGGCCAAAATTCACAGTGATCAAGTAATTTTTTCCAAACTACTGAACAGATTTGGATAAAATTTTGAATTTAGTCCTAACTACCAAACGGTAATGTTTAGCTTGTAAAAAATTTTTTTATTGTGCCTTTGTTCGTGAGTTTTTTATTTTCATTTCACCTTGATTTGTGATTTAAACAGCAATACGTGCTTAAATTTGCAGTAATCAAGAAATTTTTTCCAAACTACTGAACAGATTTGAATGAAACTTAGTTAAATACCAAACCTCAGCAACAGTGATGTTTACAATTTTTTCGTTTTGCCTTTGTTTGCAAGTTATATGGCTATATGTATAAAGCTCTTGGTTTAAACCAGCCGGTAGAAAAGCTGGACGTTCCTCCTATATCTGTATAACTCGCAAACAAAAGCAAAATAGAAAATTTGTCACAAGCTAAACATCACAGTTGAGAGGTTAGGCATTTATATACAAAGTTTTGTTAAAATCTACATCGTAGTTTAGAAGAAATTTCTTGATTGAATTTCTTGATTGATCTTGATTCTCTTGATTGATTAAGTGACAAATTACCCGATGATACGGGCCAAATATACGGAAGTGTGAAATCAAGAATGATGGTGAAATGGAAAAAAACTCACAAACGAAGGTAAAATAAAAAAATTATAAGCAAAAAAAATCACCGTTTGGCAGTTAGGAATGTATATTTGAAATTTCGTTCAAATCTGTTCAATAATTTTTAAGAAATTCATTGATCACTGCAAATTTTGGCCTGTTTCGCAATATACTTGTAATTCACGAATGAAGGTGAAATTTAAAAAAAGTTTACAAGCTAAACATTGCTGTTAGACTGGTGATGATCACGGTGAGACCGGCCACGAGTCCAGCCATAAATTTGCCCGAGATGTCCTAGGTTTCTAGTACTGTAGCATAAAATGGGATAACTTAGACTACTTTATTTTTTAAATGCCATTTTTTTACTAGCTTAATTAAACTTGAAACATGCAAAATACAGGCCTATACTCTAGGTTAACTCTCCATAAATTGCTGGCTCCTGCGTCCTGCCTCTCATTGTTTTTATGTAATTTAAAAAAAAGTGATGGTCTTTGTTACCCCAGCTCTTGGGGTATCTTAGACTGGGTGGTAAAATCAATTATATTTTTTGGTAAAATAACTCCAAATAACTCCAGGTTTTGGTGCATTGCAGTAGAACTCTTCTAGTTACATATGCAAATGACAAATTTGAGGAAAGTGTCATAGTTTGCAAATGGGGGGTGCTGCCCCTGAATGGGGGAACTTAGTTCACCTAATGTCAGCTGTGGAGGGGTAATATTGACCGGCTTGGAAATTAAGTTGAAATTACCTTATATAAGACTCTGTAGAGTCAGAAACATAAAGAAAAAACATTAATAGGTGTATCAAACATGAAATATGTTATATATGGTAATTTTAAATTAATTACCAAGCCCGTCTATGTTACCCCGTCAGGGCTGACATTAGTCAGCCTAAGTTCCCCCATTGGGGGGTGGTGCCCCCCATTTGCAAACTATGACACTTTCCTAAAATTTGTCATTTGCATTGGTAACTAGAACAGTTCTACTACAATGCATCAAAACCTGGAGTTATTTTGCCAAAAAATAAAAAAAAATTGGAGGAGGTACTCCAACAGGCTTTAAATAATAGCTCATTTTCATTGGTCACATTTTTAATTTTTTAACGTATTAGATATGCAAGCTTTTCAAATCTTTCTATTGTGTTACGTAGCCTCAGTATTAGGCCTTTAATGACCATCAACAAAATTTTTCTATGTCAAATAGTTTTTGAGTTTTGGGGGTTTTTGTTAAAAAAACGAAAAGTGGTCTAAGTTAGCCCAGGAGTCTAAGTTGCCCCATTTTACAGTAACAGTTAAAACAGCTGAAAAACATATTGGTTCACTAAATGGGGATTTATTTGTGAAATACTAATTTGTGTTTAACCTTTATCTTTTAAAATTGCAGCGTACTAAATGTCAAGAAAGAGGCGTATGTTTTTATAGGTGTCTGTGGGGGGCACTAGAAATTCACTAGGGAGCCAGAGGAGGTGCCAGCCTGAAAAAGTTTTGAGAACCACTGATATAGTGGAATATGGGAATATAATGAGTACCAGCAAGTCTGTGAAGTATATTCTCAAGTTGTTATTGGACATTTTTTGAACTGATTTCTTGTTATCTCCATACACAAAGGGATTTGGCTAAGAACTTTCACATGACTGACATGACTGACATGAATGAGGAGAATTGATTGCCGGAGAATGAGATGTGAAAATTTACAAAAACATGTTTGAAGATTAATTCATGGAAAAATCATAATGAAGTTTGCAAATACTGACAGCTCAGATACTTCCGCCATGAATGCCTATTACCAATAATGTGGTAGCTAATGTTCAATGATAATTTTGCACATGTTCATGCTATATGTATTGAATTAATGCCTGATTTACACTCGCAGTTTTAGGTCATGTGTTCTAAATTTTCACTGCACACAAAGTATAACCGAAGGCTGTTTGAATCATTCAAAATAGAATAATTTCTACCATTCACACGGTAAATGACATCTCAAAAATCATGTAGTTAGGTAGATGTGAGCAGAATTCTTCAGCAGTGATAAGTTGTTTTCCATAAACATGCCTAAAGGATTGTTTGGTTTGCTACAGTGTTATTTGCCTCGTATTGTTTTCTTATACCCTGTGATTTTTATTCTATGGGAGTTTTGATTTGAATTATTATCTCCAATGATGAGATCTTTTAATGATAAGAATAGCTATTTATTCAAGAAAATACTAAGATGAGATAATTTGTGTGCAATATATATATATATATATATATATATTATTTTTTGCTCAGATAAAGCATTTGATGAGATTTGGTCACGTCACACCAGCGACACTTCGCTGCTCACTGACTATGCTGCAGCCGTGCTTGCACAACAACGGCGCTGGGAACAAAAGAAAGTGAGATTTATCAGGTATAAGGTATTGAAGAGAGATTTGTCAGGTGTACTAATTTGAAGAGAAATTCATTAGAGGTGCAGTATTAGAGAGAGATTTGTCAGGTGTACTGATTTGAAGAGAAATTCATTAGAGGTGCAGTATTAGAG